GCCTGGCTCCTGTGCGTTGTCTCCCATGTGGCTTGCTATTGCCCCACACGGTCAGCAGACTGGGCTCAGCGTGGCTCCCCGCACGGTGCGGGTCCGTGGGGCCCTTCAGACGGTGGGGAGCCTTCCTAGCCTGTGTCCGGGCCGCTCACTCCCGTCGGCCGGCTCCTGAAAAGACCCAAAGATCTGCCGGATGTGTTTACTGTGCGGGAGGCTGAAGACCTCAGGCTTACGGTAGCCTGTGTAGACTCCTCGGCCATGATGTCTGGCCCCGCAACGTCCCAGGAGCTCTACGTGCAGGCAAGGTAAATGCCAAGGTTTTAGCTCTCACCAGAAGGAACTGCAAACAGCTTCTGGAATGTGCTGACAAACCAAGTGAGAAAGATTCAGAAATGGAGTGTCCTCCCCAGGAGTCCAGGGTGACTCTGTCCGTCTGTGAAGTGGGGGGGACACTCCGTGGGGAGCCCTGTCCTTCCCACCTGTGCCCGAGGCAGCCCTAACACCAATAGCAGGTGGATGCTGGCGTGAGGATGTGGGGACGAGGAGGAAGAAAGCCATAGCGAAAACTGGTGGACACGGGAAAGAGAAACCAAGCTGACGTCACAGGTAGCTCCTGGGAAAATGACCGCTCAGTGAGGTCGGCAGACCCAAGACCACTGTCTCCAGGGAGTCTTCTGGAGGAGTCAGGAAATAAAAGAACATGGCGGCCATACTTCCACTGAAGACACGCTATTCACGTGAATGGGTTCCTTCATAATATTTGTTTAACAAATGAATTAATTAGCATGTAAATATAAGAAGTGCTATTTTTCAGACATTTAGCTCTAGAACTTTAGTGCTAAAAGGTGCCCGGGAGTCAATCTGTTTGAAAACCCTCATTTTAAACAGGCAGGGCTTGGGGGTGGGCGTGGGGGTGGGAGTGGGTGTCGTTATTTAATGGGCATGGCAGCCGGTGGCCTCCCAGATCCACACAGCTCCTTCTGATGGACTCGAGGACGTTCTGGGGTGTATGGGGCACATCTGAAGACCCTGAAGCTCTTTGGGCCATGGGCACAGTGATTCCGTAAGAGCACATTCGAATTCTCTGCGCCTCCACTCACAGCCTATCTACCCAACACGCACATAAGGCACGAATTCTAACAAATAGCGGAATATCCCATTTGGGCCTCATGTTAGAACTCCGAAAAGGGGCAGGGCTGTCTTGCTTACTAACAAGTCAAAGAAGAAGGTGACAGAAACTCAGGTTGCGATTCTGAGTCAGTTTTCATTAGTAGCCCCAAACAGTCATGACGTCCCAGTCAGCGATCCTGTCCTGGCTGACAGATCCCCTTGTGCCTAGGCCAAGGCATGACCATTTCAAAGGTGTCCTAGAGGAGGTTGGGGACCAAGTCCCAAGATCAGGGACTTCTCCATCGGCCCATGCTCCATTCCCTTCTTCCCCTGGAATTTCTGCCCAGGGCGTGTCGCCCAGCCCAGCCCCGATGCAGGGGATGACCGTGCCCCACTGCCTGCCCTCACCCTCTGCCCACCTTCTCAGTGGCGGGACATGGCCCCGTTCTGCCCACGGTGGCCTGTCTGCAAGTGGCTCAGTGGGGACGGGACCCTGACAAAAATTCACGCAGCACGGAGCAGGCACGCGAGTTTTGAAGGTGATGCTCTTGGGCTGTTGTGGAGTCGTTTCAGTGGGAAGTGACTCAGCAGTTTGAGAGCTGGGCTTCATGCCTGTCACGCGTGCCAGCTCCTTTGTTTTGTTTGGGGCGTGACGGAGTCCAGCTCCCTGGTCTGGAATGCGCTGCATGGCTCTCAGAACCTCTGCCCGTGAGCACTTGGTAGGGTGGCTCTGCATCAGCTGGCACCCCTCTGCAGTGACGGGGAAGGGACAGGTCTGGGGATGGGGACAGGGCCAGCAGCCCTTGACCCACAGAAGCATATGAGAATGTATGAGCCTTCAGGCGACAACGACACCAAGCTGACTGGTTAAGGATACTTAAAAGGAAGCAATGGGCTCCAGTCAGAAGCCACGCTGGCCCCGCTGGAGAAGGCTTTGAAAGACGAGCTCGGAAACCTGCTTTCCTTCTTTAGCAGGCGGGACATTTTGGTACACACTGGAAAAGGGAGCCCATGTGGTGGCACTTAACCTGAACTGGCTGCGTAGTATCGAGGGGCAGCACCAGGGGAAGCAGACCAAGTGAACCCCGCCTTCCCGACTGGGGCCCGGTGCCAAATGAAGACACGGGCCCCTTACTCAAAAAGCAGAACAGAGTGCTGTTCAAGGTACTAAAATACAAAACGTTTTCCTTTCTCGCACTGTAGGAGGCCATAGGAGGCAGGATCACGGGGGACCCAAGGCTCCAGTCCCCCAGCACCTGCTCCTCTGTCCCACCCAACTTCACCTGCAAACCACAAAGGCAGAGATGACACCATTCAGAATTCCAGCACAGCAACCACAGGGCATCAGACCCCAAGCACGGGGCCCTTCTGAGCGCAGGGCCCCGTGTGACTGCAGTGGTCATGTGCCCATGAAGCCAGTCCCGCTGTCACAGCAAAATGACACTCCCTCCGACATAGAACAGGAACTGAAGGCCAGATTGAGAGATGGGCTGGTCCTAACAAGCCCCCAGTTGGAGGAATAGAAGGCTGCCTGCCTTTCCTGGCTTGGCAGGCCCGGGGGTGCCCTGGCAGTCAGGCTTCGAGGCTCGTTGGGGACACTCCATGCAACACATGGTGGGAGCCCCTGTGTACCGAAGGCCAGCCTCCAAGCCCTCTCCCTTGCAGCAACCCTCCGGCCCCACCATCACCTGGCAGGGGTGGGGGGGTCCCCAGGCCACAAGCCCTCTCCCACGCGCCTCTCTCTCCCACTCAGAGTGTGGTCCAAGGGTGTCTGTGAACCGGCGCAGTAAGATAAGCAGAGACTGGAGTGAGCACGTACAGACCTCCAAAACAATGCGGCAGAGTGGTTTTATGTATGTTGACCCTATTGATAAAAAGCCAGCACTTGTGTTTCTTTTCAGTTCATTGTTTCTAGTAATTTATTTTTATTGGATTTTACAAGCTGGCGATTGGAGGCGTGGTTCTGCTTTCTGGCTTCAGGGTGCTCTTTATCACGGAGAGCTTCCAGGAACGGCTTGTCCTCCCTTCGTGACTGGGGCGCTGTAGTCCCCCATGGCTCTTTCACTGCCCCTGTCACGAGCGTGCACTTCAGTCGTCCTGGGAATTTTTGGCAGATCTGAATAGGAAACCCTTAGGGACATACAGATTCACGAAAGGCAGAGCCACATTTCCATACCAATGCGGGCACGTGTGCATCGTAACCGGCTATTTGCAGAAGGAAATCGTCTCAGCTGCTGCTCGGGATGAAACGAGGGCGTATTTTTATATTGAAATCACGTACTTTTTTCCCTAAAAGTCATGATGAAATCTTCCATTCATGGATCCAGAATGTGTTTCAGCTGAACTGATTTAAAAAAATAGCCGTGTGTGGGGCCGGCCCGGTGGCACAGCAGTTAAGTTCACACGTTCTGCTTCGGCAACCCCTGGTCCGCTGGTTCGGATCCTGGGTGCGGACATGGCACCGCTCGTCAAGCCATGCTGTGGCAGCGTCCCACATACAAAGTGGAGGAAGATGGGCACGGGGGTCTTTGGGGAGAAGAATAAAAAAAAAAGATTGGCAATAGTTGTTAGCTCAGGTGCCAATTAAAAAAAAAAACAGCTGTGTGTACTCCTCACTTTCGAAAGCGGCCGACTGTGTTTCAAAGGGCGTCATTCGGGCTCCCTCCGCGGGCCCGGGACTGCATTGCTCATCCTCTGGGGGCTGGGGGACTGTCTTTACTTTTTAATCCCTGAATTGGGGAAAACCAGCCAGAACCTAAAAGCTGCCTGTTGCTGAACCACTGTAGATGGTGGCACTTCGGGGAAGGTGTGACCCTGAGGTGGGCTGCTCACCTGGCCGTGTCACTGGGCAGGAGAGCACGGCTCTGCGGAGGCGGGCGGCGAAGATCTTAAGAAAGTTCTCTGTGTATTCCCGAATGGCACGTTTATGTCAGTCTCACGCCTCCCTTTGTTTATTCAATTTAATGTCGAAACGGACCAGCTAGAAGGCCAGAGGCTGCGTGGTGAGCAAATGAGCTGCAGCCTGCAGGGGCGTGGACAAGCCCAGGCTGCCGTTATCCCAGGGGGCCAGGTGAGTCAGGGTGCGCAGAGCCAGGGGCGGGGAGGGGACAGGGAAAGGGGCCACCCCTAGCACACGGCTAGAGGTGCAGGAGGGCACACAGACGGGAGAGAAGCGGAGGGAGAGAAAGACGCGAGCTGAGAGCCTAAGAAACGGTACGTAACCCACTTAGCATTTACGGAAATTCTATTTTCAGTAGTAGGGAATGTTTAAACTGTGTAAGTAACTTCGGTTATTGAAAAATGCCAGCCTGGTTGTGGGGACGACTGCCTTTCAGGAGACCCTCATCTCCTCTGCCCTCTCTGGAGAGCGCGCAGAGCCAGTGCCCTTGTGACAAGGGTGAACTGCGGCGTGGCCTGACCTCCGCCCTTGGGCTGACAACAGGAAGCCTCGGCATGCTCTTTCCGTGCACAGGCAAGTGCCGACACTCGGCACTGTCCGGGGGCAAAGGTCCGTCATGCAGACGGAGAAGATGCCTGTTTCTGAGAGGAAGCAGGATAGCCTGCACCCCACTGTGCAACTTGACCAGCAGCCCTGCGCCTCTTGGTGGGCTGCTTCATGCTCCAGGACAAACCTCCTGATAGCCCTTGAGTTGCAGGATTTGCAAACTATCCAGCTGCGCTTGCTGGGGCCCGGGCTCGGTCTTCTGTGCGCACCAGGGGCCCCTCCCCAGCGGGGTGGCCCCTGCTCTGCGGACGAGGTCTCAGCCTCCAGCTGCACAACTGCTGTGTCCAACCCCGAGAAAACCGAGAACACGAGCTCTATTTGGAAGTTTTCTATTTAACACGATGGAAACATAAGCAGAAATGATCAACATTCTGTTGACTTTTTTTTAAAAAACATTTTATTTCAAAGGGCACATAAGTATTTTGCTGGGTAACAATCGAGAAAACAAGTGGTCAGAGGACAATTGGAGCTGGTCTGAATAAATAATAAACTGCCGTTTGTGTTTCTGAAACTTCTACAGCATAGAACACGTTTCAAATAAATAAGCTCGCCCCGGCACTGTGTGGCTAGAGACAGGTCCGGTGTCTGGAGTCTGCAGTGAAACGAGGTGCTGGACTGGAGACCTGTCCCCTCCCAGGCTTGGCCTCGTCTTTCCAGCGACCCCCAGGGGACCAGCAGCGTTGTGGCCCTTGGGGCCCCGATGGCGGGACACCTGCGGATGTCCGGGGCTGGCACTCCGACCTGGCAGGCTCAGACAGCCTGAGCGCTGGTCCCTCCTGGACCGTCCGTTCTCGGGTTGGTCCAGAGGAGGAGGTGCTGGGCAGGTCTTTTGGGGGACGTGACGGTCTAGGTTCCGCCGTGGGTGGGATCCAGCTGCCGGGTCTCCTGTCCTCACAGAGGCCGGGCGCTTTGCTGGCTGCCTTCCAGGCACGCAGCATCCTGACTGTTGTCTACACGGCACCTCCAGGTGGCACCTGGTTCCCGCCGGCGCAGTGCTCCCCGCCTCACAGTCCATCTGAAACACCCGAGAGACCGAGGCGCCCGGTGCTGTCACACCAGGCCCGCGCTGTCACACGTGCCAGTGGCGCAGCTGCCAAGCCCCAAGAGTGCCCGCTCGCCCAGCCGTCTGTCCCGGGCTCAGCCTCGGCAGACAGCCCTGCTCACGGCCTCCTCGCTGCTGTCCTGAGCTCACGGCTCGTCTGAAACAGCACCAGGGCTTCTCACGGCGACGTTTGTGTCTTTTCCAAGTGCATGTGCAAAAGGCAAGGTACATGAATCTTTTCAACACAGGGTCCTTTATTTGAACTTTTCCTTGAAGAACAGTATGTGGAGGACGGGCCCAGCCTCCCTCCACGGGACTCGAGAGCTCACTGTTCCTTAAACCTGAAAGAAGAGCGTTAAAGAGCAGCTGGTTACACAGCCAGCAACGGCCACAGGACAGACGTGGAATCCACGCCAAGTGCACAAACCCCCCGAGCGCCAGCCTCGCCCCGCTTCTGCTGGGGTCCTCCCAAAGCGAACTGGGTGACGAGTCTTACCGTCTTACTGCATCCCCACAGCCTCGTGGGGACACAGAGAGAGAAGAGGAAGAAGGGGGCGGGGGTGGGTGGGAAGGAGGCCAGGCGGAGCTCAGAGAGAACAAAGGAGGCCATCTGCCTTCCACTTTTCACTGAGATTTTGAGGAGAGATTGGCATCATCATATCCACCCTGAGGCATTTGTCAGGACAGGACAATGATTGTGGATGAGCCGTGCAATGACAGAGACAACCGGGGAGTTTCCTTTTCTTCCTTCTTTTAGGAAAGCCAGGTGTGGAAGGCAGATCAGCCAGAGTGACACTCCAGAGCTGCGCTTTCCTCACACGGGGAGAAGGGCCCGATCGAGGACTTACGGAACTTGGTTCCCCATTGCAGACCGCGGGCAGCTCAGCTCCTTGTGTATGAGGCGGATCAGGAACTGCACCCAAAACAAGGAGGAGACCCCCGTTATTGCCTGAGTAGATGAAGGGCGGCCTGCTGGCACCGCAAAGATGCCAGAGTCAGCCCCATGCCCATGGGAGCCCACTGCGCATCCAGGGGTCTACCCCAGGGAGACACCATTTCTTCAGGACACAGGGACAGCCGGCCTAAAGCAGAGCAGCAGGGAGCCTCCAGCCACCAGCCTGAAGGCCCAGCCTGATGGCTGCTGCTTATCAGTCCTGTGGATCACCACCGAGGCTGTGCTCCTGGAAATACGGCTTCAGCACAGATTCAGGCAGAACGACCTCCGGGTTCAAGTAAGATTTAAAATGAAATGACTCCAGTCATAATTTGTCAAAATTGGAAAAAGAAGATAAAGACAAGGGGACGCGCAGGGATGGTGACAGCGGGCGAGGCCTCTGAAAGCCAGCTGAGCGTTCACCAGCCGTCGCGCTGGGGGCTGAAGGAGCTGCCACTGGGACAGCCAGCTTTGTGGGGAAGCTTCTTGGCGAGCACCTGGCCCGTGGGACCCAGAGTGCTGCTCGGCGGCAGCCCCCGCAGTCCCGGTAAGGCAGGGCTGGCTCTGCCTGTGTCTGGGGCAGGCTCTTTTCCTTCAGATTCCTTTCCATGCCAACGGGCTCAGAGTCAGCTTACAAATCCAGACCAGTGACTCAGCGTCGCCCCAAACTTAACTGGTTTTCTTTGTGTCTGAGGCTGTGGATCAGCCTTCCCCGAGCGTGACAGCAGCCCCGGAAGAGCCCGACAGTGCACAGAGCCTGGGGCCTGGAAACGCGTTCTCAGGGAGTCCTGCTTCTAGCGGCCCCCACTTCTCAGAGGGCAGTGGGCGCTCTCAGGCCCAGGGGGACCACTGGGCCAAGAGGCTCAAGGCAGTGGGGGTACTGGAGGGGAGTTTTGAGGGGCTACTTAAAAACCCATGCAGCGACACAGGACAGCCTCAGTTGGAACTCTGGAGGGCAGAAACATTCATTCTGGATGTGCCGGGTGTGAGCTGGGAACCCTGCAGCTGGGCTGAGCTTTGTCCCTCTCAAATGGTTTCGGATTTGCTTCTGCCTAAGAACCAGATATATCACCTTTCAGGACCAATTTTACTCAATTTTTGTATATATTATGGAATATTTATATAACACAAGCTCAAAAATGAAAGCTCACTAGAGGCAGGTCCACAGCTAAAAATTCTCAGGAAAGATTGCCCCCAGCCTGGGGAACAGGCAAAGATGACATGGACGCTCGTTGTCTTCTGCAGCCATGTGCAAATGCACACCCCCCCACTGCGAGCACAGCCCTCTGCGGGGCCTGCTGCATGAGGAAGTCCCCGGTTCCCTCGCCCCATCTGTGCCAGCCCAGCACCTCGGCTCCCGTTCCTGGTGGCCACAACCACCCAGCCCTCGAGGCCTGAGACGGACAGCTGCCCGGGCTGCTCCAGCAGCAGCTGGCGGACTCGTCTGTGTTGCTCCACATTCTTGGGTCCCTCCTTTCTGAGGAGTTTAGCTAAGCATTTAAGAGGAAGTTTAATATATGTTACCCGGTATTTCTGAAATAGAAGAGTTGTCAGTCTTTGAATAGCCGTAATGATGGGAGTTTCATTACTGCTTAGTGCAAATGATCCGGGAACTTAACTAAAACCCTCAGGCCTCTCAAACAAATGATCTGAGGAACAGCCTTTTAAAACCTAACAGGTCCTTCAATTGGGAGTTGGTATTTGATTCTGTACGAAATGGGAGGAGCTGTGTTTTAGGGCTCCCTAGGATTAAAATATAAAACTTTCATTTAATTGATGGAGTTGATATTTCCAAAATCCTCAACTCATTTTTATTGGGATCCGGTTTTTTCTGGTGGAGCGAGAGGAGACGCGGGCCCCAGGTCTGGGGACTCTGCGTACAGGAGGACTCGCTCGTAAAGTACTGCCACGGCCACCCTCGCGGGTGTGCGCCCCACGACTGCAGCTTCACGACTGCTCTCCTCCATCCTAAAGAAAACCTCACACCTTCTCGGCACAGAGGGGCCTGGACACAGGGGCCCGGGGAACAGCGGGCAGAGACCAGAAGCACTCAGCGCCTGCCTCCGCGGCCTCGGCTCCTTTCCGCTCCTCCGTCCCTGTGGGTGCAGGGAGTCAGCCTGCTTCTTGACAGCAGGAGGAAAGCGACAATGGTAACGGCCGCCATTTAGGAGGCCAGCCATTGCGCATCATCTCTAACTCCCGCACTCGCCCTGTCGCTGGTGCCATGATCATGCCTGAGTATAACTATGGCAGCTTCGGGACAGAGAGGCCAAGGGGCCTGCCCCAGTGGCACACACAGCCGACAGGCGACGGGCCCGGGATTGACAGCCAGGGAGCCAGGCTCTTGGCCTCTAGACCATGCTGCCTGAAACTACAGAGCAACAGACCAACCTGCCTCTGCTTCCGGCATTTGTTTAAACCAGAAGGAGAAGGGGCCTTGGACCACGAACCTTTGGGGAGGCTGGGCTGTGTCACAGGCCCTGGCTTCCCTGAGCACGGCAGGGTCCACAGGAGAAAGTGTCACCAGTGTTTGGCTGGCATCCACAGAGAGGCTCATGAAAGGCTGCTTGCATCAAAAGGGAGCCGACTCACCAGTAAGGCACAGGCGTCCGCAAACATCAACATGTAGAACACGTTGTTCCATCCCGACGGGGAGAGGAGCCCGGCCAGCAGGGGGCCCAGGGCTGCTCCTGAAACGAGGCAAAGGGCGTGCGTGGATCTGTGAGGGACTCTGGTGCGCGACTGTCCCCAGCCCCACAAACACACAGGACGGTGCCCGACAGCCCCCTCATGGCTAAAGAAAACCACACTAAAACAACAAAACCGCATTCTTAGCTGTCACACGGGGGAGGGGTAAAAGCTTAATAACACTCAGCACTGGGGAGGGCAGGACCAACACCAGCTTCTTTGGAAGCAAATCTAAACATAGGTATTGACATGAAAACGTTCATTCTTTTGATCCAAAAAATCCCACATACACATTTATTATAAAGAAATCTGAATCTAATGTGCAACCTTAGATATTCTTCTGCTAAAAATATTATTTGGTAAAATATGAATAGGGTTTTTAGACACTAATAGCGTACCAATGTTAATTTCCTGATTCTGATAATTGTGCTGTGGTTATATCAGGGAATTTCTTGTTTTTAGGGAACACATACTGAATACATAGTTATCGGTAAAGGGGCAGGATGTCTGCAATTTACTCTTAATTGGTTCTGGAAGAAATACGCATGTGTATATTTATAACTGTGTATGTGTACATATACGTGTGTTATAAATCTGTGAGAGGAACGATAAAGTAGATGTAGTAAAGGTGAATTCTTTGTACTATTTTTGCAACCTTTCTGTAAGTCTGAATTTGTCAAAATAATTTTTGAAAAAACCTATAAAGACAAAAGGAAGCAAACAGTGCTGAACGCGCCGCAAGGGCCTGTCCGTCCGTCTAGGAGCACTGCTGCAGGAGCCCGGCTCTTCCTTTCCCAGAAGGGGGCTGGACCGGGTTCCCACGTCCCCGCAGGACGGTTTGCCGTTTGGGCGTGGGAAGAAGCATGGAGCCTCCAGCCCAGGTTACGACTGAGATCTGACCTCTGAGATGTGGGCTTACCTGGGTCTTCCCTACCTCATACATCCCGAGAGTGTTTCAAGTGCTTACAAAGAGCACTTACTACTTTTGTGATCTGAGAGCCACTGCATCGGTTTTTTGTCACAGGAGAACTTCCAGGTAAATATGGCAGACTGCTCATGGGTGCGTATCTCTCCACCTCCCAACACCACAAAATGGACCACAACTGAGTTTAAAAATTATAAACCCCGAGAGACGGGCAGATGAGAGAAGGCAGCGTTCCTGGAGGATGGCATTTAAAGGGCCTGACAACCGACAGAGCTCCGGTTCCCCTAGCTGGGGGGAGACTCCAGCGCCTCGGCGCTCAGGCCTGCCCGTCTGGGCGCAGGAGGGCGGGAGGGAGGCAGCAGAAGAAAACAAGGGCGCTGGCGGAGAACTGGGACAGCGCCAGGAGATGTGTCCCTCTGCCTCCTCTGGCCCTGGTTCCTCATCCTTGATGTCGCTACTGCGGCAACTTGCCCTCTGCAGAGCTTGAAGCAGAGGCTCTGGGCTCAGGGATACCAAGCCCAGTGCAGGGCAGGAATGAGGCATCAGCCGAGCACAGGGGAATGCCGGGAAGGCCACCAGTGTCCACCCAGCAGCACCCGCCCTCCCACACAATGACGAGAATGCTGGCAGCTAGGTCCACCCCGGGTACTGAGGGGTCTCTCCTCCTTGAGGTTCCAGTGGGATCCCACTACCTGAAGACCAGCAGTTGGCATGCCCACCCACACAGAAAGGGCTTCTAATGAGTACTTAGTGGCTCATTCTTAAATATGAATCTACAAGGGGATGGCCAAGAGGCACCTGGGTGTGAGGAAAGCCTCACTGTGAAAGCAACACACTAGCGGAGGGAAACCGACAGGAAATAAATCGAGGAGAAGGAAATTCCCTGGACATTATAACACTCTCAGAGAACTAACAGCAAATTAGAGTGGAACCATATGAAACTCCGACTTTCATATCTGAGAACAAATTCAACATCGGCAATTTCACATGATTCAATCTAACACACACTGCATCCAAGAAAAAAAAACTGGATGCACTAAAAGGGTGGAGAAACACCAATGAAGATGAATATTATGAGCGCCAAAATAAAAAGTTCAACAGGAAAGTTGGAAAGCAAAGTCAAGGACATATCTCAGAAAGTAGAAGAAAAGAACAAAAAGGCAGGCAGGAAGGGAAAGAAGAAAGAAAAGAAAATGGAAGGTTAATCCAGAAAGTTCAACATCTGACTAAGAAGTTTTCCAGGCAGAAAAAACAGATAGAGTAGGGAGAACTCATCAAAGGAAAAACAGAGCCCAGTTTCCCAGAGATGAAGGGTGTATGTTTCCAGACTGAGCAGCTGCCAGGGCTCAGGGCCCAGGGGATGAAGAAGTGAGCCCCCAGGAAAAGAAGTGGTCAGAAAGGAAGGCCTAGCCAAGGACGTCACAGATTTATCCACGGTGACAGGGAAGCTGGAAGCCATTGGAACTCTGAAGAAGAAGGACTTTGGACCCAGAGTTGCATATCCAGACAGACTGTCCATCAAGCAAGAGGGCAGAATCCAGACACCACAGACCGCCCAGTTCTCCAATCTGCCTCCTGTGAACTGCTACTCAGGAAGCTTCTAGAAGACATTTTCCACCAAAGAGGAGTAAACACGGGATCTAGACAACAGGGCCCAATGTGGGCAAGAGATGAGGAATCCGTAGGATGCTGGGGAAAGCAGCTCTGGGATAAGAGCTGAGCAGCAGGTGGAGAGCAAAGCAGGGGAGGAAGGTGGCGGAGGACGCCCACACAGGCTGAGGCGTGGGAGGCTGCGGAGGGGCAACAACTGCCACAGAAACTCAAACAAAAGGAAAACATGAAGCATTCGTTAGTTTGGGGAAGAATGAAAATGTCCATATTAAAGATGTATAATTAAAGTTGAATTCTTGGCTCAAGAGCGAATGATATTAACACAGCCAGAGTACTGGATGGGGAGGAGGGAAAAGGAGTATGGGGGTGAAAGAGCCAGGTCCCCATCTTCCTTACTGGAAGGACAGCAGATACTGTCAAAAACTGATAATTCAAGAAACAGGTGGGAAAGACCAGAAGGAACAGGTGACAGTGACGGCTTCCAGAAAGAGGGGCTGAGGGGCATGGGGCAGGGGCCTGTCATTTTGCGTTATAATAAGCTTGTGAGACTATCTGGCTTCTAAAGTTACAGTATGTTTTACTTTGATAAAATAAAGATTAACCTGAAAAAATTCATGGCTCTATTTAATGGCTCTGCATAAAATATATCAGAACAACAAGGCTCGCAGCCTCCTGGGACGCCCTTCTAAGTGCTGTGGACGCACCAACTATGTCACACCTGTGCCACTAGAACGACATGGCTCTGTGAACTGCGAGAAGGCACTGGCGTATTTACAATTAGCCATGCTTGTCTCCATTGAAACCAACGTTTACACGTAGTAAACATTTGAACCACCTTGTCTCTGCCTTCTGTCCCACCGAGGCCTTTGTCTACAAGGGGTAAACGCCCTCGTGAGGGGTTTTTGCTGAACGGTGCGCCTCTCCACTCGAGCCTGGCTTTGCCTCTGTCTGGTTGGGAGCACTTATGGAGAGACACAATGATGGAGATGCAGTGGTGGACAAGCATGCGTGCCGTTTCCACGGCAACTGTCTCCTCAGGTCCTCGGGCTCTGGAGCTGGCAGGGCCCGGGAATCCAAGTGCCCACCAGCCCTCCGAGGGTAGGCGCTGTGGAAACCAAGGGGGGTTTGACGGCTCCACCATGGTCAGTACGTCGAGCAGGTTAGTGAGGAGGGCAGAGATGGTCCGAGTCGCCTCCTGCCATCCCTCCATGGGGTCAAAGGCACCCAGTGCTGTGCTTTGGTTCCTCCTATGGGGCTCAGAGCATGCCCTTCTTTACAGATGCAGATGACCCCTAGCCATGGATTTCTGCTTCCCCCTTGTTTATTTTTTAAATTATTTTTTATTTTTATTGAGGTTATAATAGTTTACAACATTGTGAAATCACTGTTGTAGATTATTATTTGTCAGTCATCTTATAGGTGCACCCCTTCACCCTTTGTGTCCACCCCCAACCCCCTTCCCCTGGTAATCACTAATCTGTTCTCTTCGTCCATGTGTTTGTTTATCTTCCACATATGAGTGGAATCATACGGTGTTTGTCTTTCTCTATCTGGCTTATTTTGCTTAACATAATACCCTTATGGTCAATCCATGCTGTTGTGAATGGGACCACTTTATCCTTTTTTCTGGCTGAGTAGTATTCCATTGTATATATACACCACATCTTCTTTATCCAGTCATCAGTCGATGGGCACTTGGGCTGCTTCCATGTCTTGGCTGTTGTGAATAATGCTGCAGTGAACATAGGGGTGCATGGGTCTCTTTGAATTGCTGATTTCAAGTTCTTTAGATAGATACCCAGTAGTGGGATGGCTGGGCCATAAGGTATTTCTATTTTTAATTTTTTGAGAAATCGCCATACTGTTTTCCCATAGTGGCTGCACCAGTTTGCATTCCCGCCAGCAGTGTATGAGGGTTCCCTTTTCTCCACATCCTCTCCAACATTTGTTATTTTTTGTCTTGGTTATTTTAGCCATTCTAATGGGTAAGGTGATATCTTAGTGTAGCTTTGATTTGCATGTCCCTGATGAACAGTGATGACGAGCATCTTTTCATGTGCCTATTGGCCATCCGTATATCTTCTTTGGAGAAATGTCTGTTCATGTCCCCTGCCCATTTTTTAATCCGGTTGTTTGATTTTTTGTTGTTGAGTTGTGAGTTCTTTATATGTTATGGAGATTAACCCTTTGTCAAATATATGATTTGCAAAGATTTGTTCCCAGTTGGTGAGTTGTTTTTTTGTTTCAATTCTGTTTTCCCTTGCCTTGAAGAAGCTCTTTAGTCTGATGAAGGCCCACTTGTTTATTCTTTCTATTGTTCCCCTTGTCTGAGAAGACATGGTGTCCAAAAAGATCCTTTTAATACTGATGTCAAGGAGTGTACTGCCTATATTTTCTTCTAGAAATCTTATGGTTTCAGGTCTTACCTTTAAATCTTTGATCCATTTTGAGTTTATTTTCATGAAT